TCTCTCCCTTCCTTCCCTTCCCTTCCTCTGTGTTTATTTTTTTTGTCTCTTTTCTTCAAGGGATATACTTATCTTCCTTTCTGTGTCAGTGTCTATGTTTGTTTGTTTGTCTGGGTATATATGTTTGTGTTTGTGTTTGTGCAGAGTTTTATATGTTAGAATGTGTTTTGTATTTGTGTTGTTTGTCTGAGTATATATGTTATGAATGTTTGTGTGATATATTATGTTTATGTTTGTATATGTTATTGGTGTTTGTGTGTTGTTTGTATATTGTGGGTGTTTGTGTTTGTTTATATATTGTGTTTTGTGTGTTTGTTTGTATATATTATTGGGTGTTTGTGTGTTTGTTTGTATATGTTATTGGTGTTTGTGTGTTTTGTTGTATATGTTACTGCCTATACACTTCTTTGTTTCTGTAAATAAGATTGTTTGATTATCTCTATACAGTTATGGTTACTAACTGCGTAACTGTGTTTCATATACAGTTTAGAAAAGACTGGTATGAGAGCCTGTCAGACGGAGTTGTGGTGGTGATGGTGGTGTTGTGGTGGTGGTGTTGTGGTGGTGGTGGTGGTGGTGTTGTTGTTGTGGTGGTGGTGGTGGTGTTGTTGTTGTTGTGGCATGAGATATTATCGTCTGCCAGGTTACTCTGTTGTCTCCTCTCTTGTTAGCGCCTCTCCTGTCTACCTGTCTCTCTAACTCTCTGTATCCTATTCTTGCTATCTTGCTATCTCGTTAAATCGCTATTCGTTCTCTCGTTACCTCGTTCTCTCGCTATCTCGCTGTCTCCTCGTTTCGGTATCTCGTTAACTCACTATCCGTTCTCTCGTTACCTCGTTCTCTATCTGTCCCATTCTCCCACTATCTCGTTTCTCGTTCTCTCACTGTCTCGCTGTCTCGTTCTCTCACTGTCTCGCTGTCTCGTTCTCTCACTATCTCGCTGTCTCGTTCTCTCACTGTCTCGCTGTCTCGTTCTCTCACTTTCTCCTTTGTCTCGTTCTCTCACTGTCTCTGTCTCGTTCTCTCTGTCTCGTGTCTCGTTCTCTCACTGTCTCTGTCTCGTTCTCTCCTGTCTCGCTGTCTCCTCCTCTGTTTACATTGTTTAAGTCGCTATTATATAACCTTTATAAAATCTGTTATTAATTAGCAGACGCGTGACAAATGGGTCTGGGTGAGGTCAATAGGGACATAGTAACCTGTCTTGGGGTGTGTGTGTGTGTGTGTGTGTGTGTGTGTGTGTGTGTGTGTATGTATATGTAATTAACGGTTTATTGAAAATGCTGCAGCCCGAGGCTGAAAATATACATTGGGCATAAATGACTTATTACATACATTGGTGGGTTTAATGCCTTCATTAGAAAGGTAAAGGAACATACAGTGAACATACAGATTAATGTAGGTGTTGAACAGCAAAACGTAGTGTAGTAACTCCCTCCCAGATGGTGTTAGGAGGGACCTCACGTGGTGTAGTAGTTCCCTCACAGATGGTGTTATGAGGGGCCTCACGTGTGTGTGTGTGTGTGTGTGTGTGTGTGTGTGTGTGTGTGTGTGTGTGTGTGTGTGTGTGTGTGTGTGTGTGTGTGTGTGTGTGTGTGTGTGTGTTTCATCTTTATTGTCTGTTGTTCCTTCATCCCGTCTGTTTGGGGTAAATGAAGAACAAGGTGAACTTTTCCTCTTCCTCCCCTCTTCCCCCTTTCTCCTTCCCTCTCCTCCCTCCACCTTCCTCCTCTCTCTCTCTCTCTCCCTCCCCGCGTTCTTCCTCACCCGCCAGCTTTTTAAATATATGGGACACCCTTAAAGGTACACCACCATCAGGAGGTAGAGGAAGAGGGGAGGCAGAGGCTATCCACTCACTTCTCTTCACCAATTCCTTAACTAGATCTTCCCCGACAAAGGAGGAGGAGGAGGAGGAGAAGGGCTGAAGATGGGAGAGAGATAGTGCCTCTCTCTCTCTCTCTCTCAACTAGTTCTCAGGCAACGACAAGAAGAGAGCAACAATAGGAGGAGGAGACGTGCGATGTGTGTATGTGTGTGTGTGTGTGTGTGTGTGTGTGAAGAGAATGTGTGTCTCTTATCTGAGGAGGCAAGGCGTGGCACAAGACCTATCGCCCTACACGATAACGCCAGCCGAGTTATTGTTATTCCCTGTAAGTGTATGACCCAGCGTGTGGGGTTGGTGGGGGGGCTCGTGTTATAGTTGTGGTGGGGAGTGGGTGGTGGGTGGGTGAGGTGTGTGGTGTTGAGGGGGAGGAGGCTGGTGGTAGAAGGGTGTGGTGTGAGAGTGTGTTTCTATAACTTCGGCGATGAAACAGGGTGATGAGGTGGTGTGGTTGTTTGTGGTTATGGTGTTGGTGGTTGTTTTTGATACTACACACACACACACACACACACACACACACACACACACACACACACACACACACACACGTCATACACTTTTAAATTGAGGAGACATGAGGCAAGGTGTCACCTTGTGTTTGCATGCGTATATATATATATATGTGTGTGTGTGTGTGTGTGTGTGTGTGTGTGTGTGTGTGTGTGTGTGTTTCCAACTGCACCACAACACCACACCTGTCGCCTCGTCCCATTCCCCGTCCCGCCCTCCCTCCCCGCCCTGTCTCTTTGCCAACAGTTTTTTGCATCGCTCTAAGGTTTCGTTTTGACAATGTAATCTCACTTACCTACACGATTTACCAGCTGCTGCGTGACGGTGACAACCCTACAGTACCCACCCCCCCACCCCATCCTTCTCCCACCCTCCCCATCCTTCCTCCCCACCCTCCCATCCTTCCTCCCACCCCCATCCTTCCTCCCCACCCCCATCCACCCCTCCTCCCCACCCCCATCCACCCTCCTCCCCACCCCATCCACCCTCCTCCCCACCCCATCCACCCTCCTCCCCACCCCCATCACCTCCTCCCCACCCCCATCCACCCTCCTCCCCACCCCATCCACCCCTCCTCCCCCCACCCCTCCACCCCTCCTCCCACCATCCTGCTCACGGTCGGTTTCTGTCATAAGGGTTGTCGCCTCAGCAGGCTGTGACGTGTGTCCCTCCCTCACCGGCAGTGACTCTGTTCCCTCTCTCGCCCGTCGTTTATCACCACCTACCTCTGGGTGTTTGGTCATCTGTCTGTCTGTGTCTTGTGCTTTTGTTCCCTCCTCGTCTTAGTTATGTGATTTGTAAGCAGGAAGCTGACGTGTTTTATAGTATATGAGGTTACACACACACACACACACACACACACACACACACACACATACACACACACACACACACACTTCCTCTCCATGTGTACGTACAGTCTGTAATTGCATGATTTTTTCTATTTCTTTTATTTTTATTTATTTTTTGTGCTATAGTGAAATGCGATGGTCGTTACCGAGACTTTGTTGATAACGTGTTGTGGCAGGTAAGACAGGTGGTGATCTCCCGACGGACACCTGCTATACACCTTCGGGTTTTATCGTAACATCGTGTCATAAATTTCCCTTAACTTATTGATGTTTTGTTTGTTTTTGTTTGTTTTGTTTTGTTTGGCTGTGTAGTTCGGCGGGTTACGGGTTTTAAATGTTCACTATTCAGCAGTTTGTGAAAAGAATAAGTCGTTGGGTATTATTGTGTTAAGCAACAGGTGTGACGCATTGCTTCTGTCAGGGGTGTGTGTGTGTGTGTGTGTGTGTGTGTGTGTGTGATCAGGAGCAATGCTTATGGTTTATATTTAACCTAGCACAACCTAACCTAACCTAAACTAACCTAGTCTAACCCTAAGCAGATGACAGGCCTTGCTTGTTTCCTGATATAGCGCGTCCGTGGGCTGTTAGGTTAGGTTAGGTAGAGAAAAGACAACTCAGGTCGGATTTGGTTAGGTTAGGTCAGAGACAAGATAGGATAGGTTAGGTTAGGTTGGGATTGGGATTGGGATAGGATAGGTTAGATTAGGACAAATCGGTTCAGTTTAGGTTAAGTCAGGTCACGTCAAGCCATCTTCTA